AAATAAATATTCATGTATTTATTAAGAGAGAGAAATGTAAATATTAGACCCTAAAAAAGTTGAAGCGTTTCATTTTCTTCTGCCAGACATTTAGAGTCTCACACGTTAGACTCCTTTTTTTCTTCTCCAGTCAAATCTCCATTCATCTTCCTCTTCCAATTCCATCTTCTCTATTTGGTGTGCTTCCATTATTCACAGCTCTTACAATTTCATCAATAAGGTTTGATTTTCATAAATTTGTTCATGTAATTATTTATAGGAAAAAAATAGATTATTTCTCTTTGATTCTCATAAATCTGTTTATATTATTGTTTATAGAAAAAAGTAGATTGTTTCTCCTTGATTCTCATAAACCTGTTCATGTAATTGCTTATAGGAAAAGTTGATTATTTTGATTAAATTTAAATTAAATTGTTTAGAAATTTTAGAGTTATCAAATCATTTGCATATTAAAAAAATATAAAATAATCAAAAAATTACTCATTTTTATCTCCTTTTAAATATTTTTGTGTTCATTTTTTATCTATACTATGCATTTGTAATTAAAATAATGTCGTCAGTTTTTCCTTAAAAAATATTAAAATATACTTTTCCTATTTTTTATTAATATATCACACTATAATTTAATTTTCTATATTAAACAAAAAAATATTACTTTTTAAATGAATCAATATATCATGCTATCACGGTATCACCCATAAAAAAAACCAAATATCTTATATTTCTAATTATTAATGAAATAATAACATATAAACAATAATATATCATGCTATCACCCATAAAAAAATATATATCTTATATTTCTAATTATAAAACCAAAGCCATTAAGTGAAATAATAACATATAACTTTTTACACGAGTAAATATATCATGTATATAGGTAAATAAATGTATTCTCAATGTATATAATTAATTAATATATGTTATTATTTCTAATTGAAAAGTTACAGTAAATAAGGCATATTTAGAAATATGTGTAATGCATCATATATTTAGAAATATAAGATTTTTCTTATTAATTATTTTTTGTGTGAATTTCATGTATTTACTATTTCATTTATTTATTATTTTTTCATATATTTATTATTTTTGTTCTACTTCCATGTAGCCTTTTAAAATTTGTGTTTGTGTGTGTCAGGTTTTTGGTAAAAGAATGGTTGGTGAAGTTCAATCATCTAATAGTCCTAATGTTGCTTTGGAAGGGAATGAAGTTCCTATAGAAAGTAGTGGAGTTTCACTCACACAGGAAGTTCAATCTACTCCAAATGAAATAAATATAGAAAATCAAGATCCTGAAGCTCCCGTTGAACCCACTACAAGTCCTAACAAAAGGGGATTAAAATCAGATGCTTGGCCCTATTTTAAAAGGCAAAAAATAGGAGGCATTTGGAAGGCTATATGCAAATCTTGTGATAAGAAAATTGGTGGTGATACAAAAAATGGTACTAAACATTTATTTGATCATATTAGCATATGTCCAAAACGCACAGAGAGAGGTCCAAAACAAGCCATGCTTAAAGTGACAGAAAAAAAATCCGGAAACAGACATGAATCATTTGTGGTTGGAAATTATACATTTAATCAAGATGTTTCTAGGAATGAACTCGCGAAGATGATTATATTGCATGAATATCCCATCATGATGGTTAACCATATTGGTTTTAGAAATTATAGCCATTCTCTTCAACCTTTGTTCAAGATAGTTTCTCGCAACACCATGAAGAATGATATAATGAAGTTGTATGAAAGTGAGAAGTCAAAGCAAATGAAAATACTTGCAAAGAATAAAAGCCGCATTGCAATAACTACTGATATGTGGACTGCTAGCAACCAGAACAAAGGATATATGTCTGTTACAGCTCATTACATTGATGAAAATTGGATTTTGCAGAATCGGATCATCAGGTAACTTCTCCCTTCCATTTACGTTATTATTATAATATAGTTATTTTATGTGATATTTATTATAATTTATTTTTAGGTTCATTTATGTCCCTACGCCACATACTGCTGAGGTCATTTGTGATTTTTTGGTAGATTGTTTGATGGATTGGAATATTGATAGAAAATTGTCAACATTAACCGTTGATAATTGTAGCACCAATGATGCTCTGATTGACCATTTGATTGATAAGATGTCATCTTCTTCTTTTATTTTAAAAGGGAAATTGTTTCATATGCGTTGTTGCGCCCACATATTAAACTTGATAGTGAAAGATGGCATGCAAACAATTTCTAGTTCAATTGAAAAGATTAGGGAAAGTGTCGGTTTTTGGGTAGCAACACCAAAGAGGGAGGAGAAATTTAAAGAAACTTGTAATCAATTGAACATGACTTATGAAAAGAAGCTTGCACAAGATTGTAGAACAAGATAGAACTCTACTTATTTAATGCTTGCTTCTGCATTGCCTTACGAACAAGTTTTTAAACGTTTAAAACAACGCCGTGATTCCCAATATAAGTGTGCACCAAGTGAAGAAGATTGGAAAATGGCAAGAGAAATTTGTGACAAGTTGAAATTATTTTTTAGTGTCACTGAGTTGTTCTCGGGTACTAAGTATCCAACATCAAACATTTATTTTCCCAAAGTTTGTCAAATAAGATTAGCTTTAAGAAAGTGGGAAGATTCTTCTAGTGATATTATACAAAGTATGGCAAGAAGTATGATAGTGAAGTTTGACAAATATTAGAGTTTGATTAATGGGGTGATGGCAATAGGGGCTGTTTTGGATCCTAGATATAAAATAACTTTGTTGAATTACTTCTTCCCACTTATGTATGGGAATAATGCTCCCAAAGAATTGGAAAAGGTAATACAAATGTGTGAAGATTTAGTTGAAGAATATCAACCAAATAATGATATGGTTCCTACAAGTAGTGAAGTTGGTGCATCAACATTGGTAGATGACATTGATGTCACAAGTCAAGATTGGGAGAAGGCTTATTCGGAATATGTGATGGAAAATACTTCAACTACAAATGTCAAGTCAGAATTTACTTCCTACTTGGAAGATGGTGTCTTGCTTGATAAACAAAAAAAGGAAAATTTTGACATCTTAGGATGGTGGAAACAAAATGGTTTGAAATTTCCAACTTTGCAAAAGATTGCAAGGGACTTTTTAGCAATTCCTATCTCTACCGTTGCTTCAGAGTCCGCCTTTAGTACTAGTGGTCGTGTTTTAAGTCAACAACGTAGTAGGTTGAAGGAAGACACTTTAGAGGCTTTGATGTGCACTCAAGATTGGATCCGAAAAGATATAAAAGGTAATATATTTTTATCTTTTACAAGATTAATTGAAAAGGATTTTTAAATTTTAATTTAGCTATTTGTTTCTTAGGTTATTCAAAAACGTTGACTCAATTCGAATGTGTGGATGAAGATATGGATGATGATGATGATGATGATAATAAGGTAATTTACATATTAGTGTTGATTACCTTTTAGTTTTTAAAGTATTTTTTTAAGTAAATATAATTATTGATTGTTTACTTTTCGTAGGAAAAAGAAAGTCATATCTAATTGTGGAATGAGGAAGAAGACCTTGCAAGGAGAAGTTGGAAAGAGAGACATGATTGATCATTACTTGTTTGGATATTTTGCTTAATATTTTAGTTTATTTATATGTAACTTTGTTTTAAGTATTTTGATATTTCTACTTTACGTGTGTTATCAATTGAGCAAATAGAGATATGTTGACTTTTGCTTTTAGTTGACTTATTATGAAGTATTTTTTAGCTTTTCAAGCATACTCACGATGCTAAATTTTATAATTATCCCTTATTAGTTTTGATGAAGTATAGTTTTTTAAGCATAATTATGTTGTTGGATTTTTTTAGTTGTTTAGGCATATTGTTACTTTAAAAAGTATTATAGTTCATTTTGTTGAATTTTATAGCATTTTATAGAAATTTATAAAAAAAATATTATTATTTTGTGTTCCATTAGTATTTTTAATAAAAAATAATAAATGTCAAATACTAGTATTTTTTAATAACATAATAAATATGTGAATTCTTTGTGCTTTTTATTTTTATAGAAAATATAAACATTTAAAAAAATAAAATATTAATGAATAAATGTAGGATCTATGGGGATCCCCGCGGGGAACGAGGATCCGCGGGGAACGGGGATGGGGATAGAAATTCCCCCGTGACGGAGATCGGGGACGGGGACGGGGAATGAATTTGATGGCGGGGAAAAAGATGGGGAAGTGTCCCCCCGGCCCCGCCCCGCCCCATTGACATCCCTAAGTCCCCATATACACTGAAGAACTTGATCCTCAGGTCAATAGCAACTTTGATATCCATGATGCACGCTTCGTATTCGACCATATTATTGGTACAGTCAAAGCAAAGCCTAACACCAAATGTTGTATGGAAACCTTTGAAAAATATTTTAACATGCGTTTGTTTGAAAGCTAGAAAATTAATTTTTAAGATTTTCATTCTTAATTTGAAGGAAGTTATTCCTTAAAAATAAATTTTTAATCTAGTAAAATAAGTCAAACTACTATTTTTATTTTACTATTTAAGATTTTTTATATCTGATAATTCATTAAATAAATTATAAATTATATTAACCAACTTTATATACATTATTAATCAAAATTAATTCAATACATAACATTATTTTTTAATGTTAGTATACTCAATAATCAAAATTTAAATTATATTAATCAATTTTTTATTTAATTAATCAATTTTATTTTACTATTTACTATTAATTTTTGATATCAGAATATATATATATTAATTAAAGTAGGAATTGTATTAAACAAATTTTTTATATACCAAAATCATTATAAAAAAAAGAGTTTCAGCGTATTTATTAATGGTAAATAAGGTGTAAGTGTAAAATTAGATGTCAAAATATTACTCTTAATTTAACCATGATTGCTAACAAACACAGTTTCACCTTATCTTATCCACATTCTACAAGACAAACTTCAGCAATCTTCGATATGTCATTCGTTAACAACAACTGCCATTGCCCATAGCTCATGTTTCCAATGGCAAACATTGAAACCGTTATCAGGAGAGTCACCTCCGTAACAAACCACCTCCTTTCCACTCCAACACCACCACAACCTCAACTCATTTCCTTGTGCCACGCTTCTAGTTCCACGAATAGCGATAGCTACCAACGAGTTCATGGAAATGTTCCCTCCAACGACGTTGTTTGGGAGGTTGTTGCTTCTGATGATGAAGGAAAGCATTTCACTGACATTGTCTATGAGAAATCCGTTGGTGAAGGAATAGCAAAGGTTACTTAACAGATTCTCAAATGTAGTTCTTATTTATTCACTTTTTGTTACTCTAAGCAGTGTTTGATATCTATTAGAATAATCACTAGTTAGATTGTTTGAAAGAGTTTATAAAAACTATTTACAAATAATTAGGCAATTCTATAATTTAGGGTTTAATGTTGCAGATTAGTATTAATAGGCCAGAGAGAAGAAATGCATTTCGACCTCACACGGTTAAGGAGCTTATTCGTGCTTTCAATGATGCTAGAGATGATCCTTCTGTTGGTGTCATCATTCTCACTGGAAAGGTATGTATATACATAATGTTCGGCTACATACGTTCCATTGCAGTTTTGTCCTGGTTCAAACGGTTTAAATCGGTTAATATGATATAATAGGCTTGTCGGTTCGATGTCTGGTTCAATTTTCAAATTACTTCTATTATACATATATTTGTGATTTTCCATTGTAATTTGTCACTGAGAAACCACTGATCTATAACATTGAATTGATTGATTTTAATGCCGAAGTGGTGGCGTAGGGAACAGATGCATTTTGTAGTGGTGGTGACCAAGCCTTGAGGACTGAAGATGGTTATTCTGATTACGAAAATATCGGCCGCCTTAATGTGTTAGACTTGCAGGTATATATCAATTCATTCCTGATGTTTCTTTTTGGGTGAATGAAAGAAATCTTTACTCAACTTATCTTTTTGCGGGCTTTTTGCAGCATTCTTTTCAATGGATCAATATTGTTTTGAGTAAATCATCATTTTCGTCCTCCAAATTATAAGTGTCGATTAATTTAGTCTTTCAAATTTACGGAATGGCAGTTTATCCCGTAAACATTAGTCAATTTAGTCTCTCCTCCACAGTATCACAATCTGCTTTTCCCTGATTTGTAGTGAGACAATTTTCAATTCAAGTTGTTGGAAAAAAACCAATAGTCCCTTTGTTATTTTTCTTCTTTGAACTTCATTCTTTTCCTCTATTACAGGTGCAGATTCGCCGCCTACCGAAACCAGTGATTGCAATGGTACTCTCCTTACTTCTTTGATACTCTTGTTATATTAAGATTTTCTGCTTACATTAAAACAGGTTGCAGGGTATGCTGTTGGAGGAGGACACGTATTGCACATGGTTTGTGATCTAACCATTGCAGCAGATAACGCTGTCTTCGGCCAAACGGGTCCTAAGGTGCATCAATCATTTACTATTCGTACAAATCAAACACATAGCCTTTCCTTTGTAACATCTTGTCTTTGTATCTATAAAGGTTGGGAGTTTTGATGCGGGTTACGGAAGTTCTATCATGTCGCGTTTGGTGAGGACTAAATTCATAGTACTATTTTGTTTGCTTTAACATTTTGATATTGTCGATCGAGACGATAGAAATTATGATTGTTAATACAGGTAGGTCCAAAAAAAGCACGCGAAATGTGGTTTCTCGCAAGGTTTTATTCTGCTGTTGAAGCAGAGAAAATGGGCCTTATCAACACTGTTGTACCAGTAAGCTCTTGGAATTCTCAACACTGTAATTGCAAGTTCTAACATGAAGCTCATACTTATGGTTAATGTAATGTTTTGATTTGGTATAGCTAGAGAATTTAGAGAAAGAAACAATCAAATGGTGTAGGGAGATACTCAGAAACAGCCCGACTGCAATTCGGGTTCTTAAGGCGGCTATTAATGCAGTGGATGACGGGCACGCCGGACTTCAGGTACATCACTATTCATGATTTTTTTTTTGAAATCTTGGTATCTGAGCTAGCGACCGACTAATTCAATATTTGATTATAGGAAATGGGTGGAAATTCAACATTGATCTTTTATGGCACTGAAGAAGCAAAAGAAGGAAAAACTGCGTATATGGAACGTAGACGTCCGGATTTTTCGAAGTTTAATCGAAGACCATAAATTCCAATGTATTTATAAATTATACATGTCAATTCTTGTTATCAATTTGAGGTATGGTCTCCTAGTCTGACCAATGTTTTTTAGCAAAAATAAACAGATTTGATTCATGTTAGCTATTGTAATGTTATGTCCTTATTAAGTTTCTCTTCATATAAAACCAGTATCATATTTCTGAGTTATAGGAAAAAAAATAAACCACTCATTTGCCTTAGAATCATGATCATGGTATCAGAGCCTGGTTAACCATGTGCTTGGTTTGGGAGTTGAACTCAAGATCACTTGATGAAGCAAGCCCTGACACCATGAAGGAAACCAACAGGCTAAAGAGTTCAAGGTGTCATTTTGTTGGAATTTTAATAAACTATATCATATGTAAAAGAACATCAAACAAATTTCAGGTTTTTGACTACGTGTATTTTAACGTTTCTATATCATATTTCAAAACCGGCATAGATGTTTGGTTGAATTTTAATCATGTTAACAGATTTTTTTCCCTCTACAGCAAACATCAGAAAATTTACTCTATTAAAAAATATGAAATTTATAAACATATAAGTTAATAAAAGAAACACTGATAACAACCATACTAATCTTAAACCAATAAATTAGAACTTTGATAAAACTCCATGCGAATATGCATGGAGAATTAGGAACCTATATTGATAAAACTCCTTTTATTATGAGTTAACAATCTTCACCCTTTGACTTTTTTGATCTTCTTCTGTTTTCGAAATCACAGTTGAATTGTTCAGTTTAACACTTTCTTCTACTTCTTGCAACTCATTAGTATTGAGTAAAAGGTACAATTTGTTGTTAACCCTAAATGACCAAATATCGATCATTTGATTCTCTTTAAAATTATTCTTTAATAAAACTAGTGTCCAATCTTGAACAAGATTGTAAATACCAGTAGTCTTCATATTCCACTTCTTCAAAAACAATGAGAATTCATTAAAACAAGGATCTAACACCGTCACTTTTAAACCAATTGGTTTTCCTTCTTGATCCCTTGTTTCTAATGTTGCCTTTTCTATTTCCGTAAGAAAATCAGACTTAACTTTTGCAATAGGCATTGAAAGACGCTTGAGGTTATAGTTGAGATCGGACTTAAACAATTCCTTACACATGATATATTTAATATCACTACCATTCAATACTTTGATCATGTTATTAACATGACTAGGCAAATCTGGTGGTGGTGGTGATAACAATGTTTCTTCCCTACGAATTATTGACTTTCTCCTAATTACGGACTTTGATTTCACTTTTCTTTCCCCATCGGATATGATATCTTCATTACTTGAGTGATATCTTTTTTTGTTGTTGACTTCTATTCTTTTCACTTTACTTTGTGAGATAAGAGGGAGATTTGCTTCTTGACGTAAAATTTGATTGATTTTCTCTATTTGTGCTAACTCATCTTTGGAATAAAATTGTGGAGAAATTTGAGATAACACATTATGCAAAGTAAAATGAGGTAATGGGTCAAATTTCTTTTCCATCGTTTCCAATTTTTGCATATATGCATTGATCTTCTCAATAGCCATAACTTTCCTTTTCATCAAGACTTCTGGATTTTGTAACAATGCAGTATTGTTTTCCATAGACATTGATTTCTTTTCCTTTCTCAGTAATGTGTTGATTAGGTGTTGTGATTTTAAAGGTTTATCAAGTGTGAATTTATAATGTGCATGCAGATTTAAAGTTAAAAATTAAATAATATAATATCTTATCATATATCCAAAATTTAAAAAAGATTTGATACAAAAATCTTGATAAATCTTGATCAATAAGTTACAATAAATTTATTTTGTTCGTAATAATTCAATAGCAAAAACACAATTTCTATTAAGTTAATTTTTAATTTTAAAATAGTTATACATAACAAGTAGAGATAAACTAGTTTATTTGTTTACTTAAATTTTACTTAAATAATATATATATATATATATATATATATATATATATATATATATATATATATATATATATATATATATATATATATATATATATATATATATATATATATATATATATATATATATATATATATATATATATATATATATATATATATATATATATATATATATATATATATATATATATATATATATATATATATATATATATATATATATATATATATATATATTTCAATTCACCATTATAATAAGCTAAAACTTTTATAAATTAAAACAACATTTAATTTTAAAATCTCCATAAATCAATAACAATAAATTTATTTGTTTTGTAAACGAAAAAATATTTATATCTAATGAGTCAATTCAGCAACTTATCCAAAAGAAAACAAAAGTGATATAATATTTAAATTTAAAATTTTCAACCCACCGGTGACATAATTTAATTACTTTTAATTTTTTTAAAATTTTATCAAACTCTAATTAAAAATAATAGTCATTGTTAATTGTATCAATTTTGTATACAAATTGTCTTAAATAAATTTTTTATCGAGTTAATTATTTTTTACAATAATAAAATATATTTTTTTAAAGTTTATATTAAAATAATGTTTAAAATTTAAATCCAAAACAATTGCAAATCAAATTTAAAAAAATAAAAACTACAACAAATTTTTTTTGAATAGTTTTGGATGTGTTAGAAATTTACTTTTATAAAAACCACTCATATCGAATCAGATTTTAAATTGATTTTTAAAATCTGTTTAAATTGAATCAAATCCTATATATATTTTAATATTTTTTATTACTATGATATATTAGATTGATTTATTAATTATTAATATTTAATTTATTTTAATATTACTTATTAATTTAATTTATCTAATCTATTTATTTTTAATATTTTATTTGTTTGTGTGCTATATATTGTTTATTATTTCAAATATATTATTTTATATTATTTATCTATTTATTTATATTAATGAAAAATTATAACTTATAATTTGCATATTAAAAACCAATTTAAATTAAACCGGTTGAATTTGAATCGAAAGGGATTGGATTTTTTTAATCAGTTATATAAAACCAAAACAAAGTACAAGTAATTTTATATACAAATAGATGATTTTCCTCTCAAAACCAACTCAAACCACATCACAAATATTCCTCCTATTTACAACTATACAAGCCTATATTTATAATTTTTAAAATCATTTATGTATATTGTTAGAATATTGACATGATCATTGGATAAAGAAGAACATAAAGAAAAGAAGAATAATAGAAGAAAAAAAAAGCTGATATTGTATTGATTCAACTCAAAAAAGAAAAGAGAGGACAACCAGCTTATATAATAGTTTGGGACAATCAACTTAATCAACTAACTTCTAAAACAAAAACCTAACTAACTCTTAACAAAATTAATGAATAAGAGCTCTACAAGGTGCCACGTGTGCAATGCAATAACTTGGTAGTGGAGATAGCTCTTATGAAATATATTCTAACACCCTTCTTCAAGCTCAAGCATGATATATGTTGATCATGCCAAGCTTGGATAAAAATGTGTTGAATTTAGTTGGTTGTAGTGGTTTTGTAAACAAAACATCCAGTTGTTCCTGTGAATAAATTGGAAATAACCTCAACATTCCTTGTTATACTTTCTCTCGCACCAAGTGACAGTCTATCTCGAGATGCTTCACTCTCTCATGAAATACGAGATTTGATGCTATATGCAAAGCACTTTGGTTGTCACAATACAAAATTCGAGGCTTGGAGCATGAAACTTGCATATCTCTCAAAACATATAGGAGCCATATCAATTCACAAGTAGTTGAACCTAAGGATCTATATTCAGGTTTAGATGAGCTTCTCGACACAATTTGTTGTTTCTTAGCCTTCCATGAAATAAGATAGCTTCCTAAGAAAAAACAATAACCTGGTGTTGATTTTCTTATATCAATGCATCCTGCCCAATCTGCATCTGAATAACCCATGATCTTCAATTTAGATGATTATGGAAACATCAAGCCATATCCAGGATTCTTCTTTAGATATCTGATAATTCTGCAAGCTGCTTGATATTGAAGTTGTGCAGGCTTCTGTAGGAATTGACTCAACTGCTGCATGGCAAGAGTTATGTCGGGTCTGGTGTTGTTCAGATATATTAACCTTCCAATCAACCTTATGTAAAATTTGATGTCTTTGAAAGGCTCACTATTATCTTACCATAATTTTAGAGATGGATCTAATGGTGTATGCAAGTTCTCTATTTTTAGGATTGACATTAATTTTTGTAAAAAAAAATATAGCAACAATATGTTAAATAGGATGTCATTACTTGCTATGAAGAACATGTTGAGCAAGAAGTCATATTTTATGTTGAGACATGTTAAGTTGAAGTATTTCAACATCTGGAGCAACATGTCGGATAAGATATCCTAAGCAGGGTCGTACGACACCATGCCTGAACCGAGCTGAACAGTTGGATTATGTTATGATTTAACAGATGCAGAATATCGTGGGAATATTATGCAGTCCTATGAGGCGTTGAATTAAAGGTATGAAAGAATCAAGAAAAATATTGAAGAATATTAACTTTCTAAATAAGGAGACTTTTTAGGAAAGATTTGATTGAAGACCTATTTTGTAGAAGAATCTTCTCCAGATTTGTAATAGCTGATATGCTGTGGTTTGAAGTCAAATCCAGTTGGGAAATAGATTATAAATAAAAGCATTGTGACCTAGAAGAGGTACTAGCCGTGAATTAGAAAGATGTAATCATTAGGGATGAGTCTGTATGCCACTCTCTAGGAGAGTTGGTATGTGTTATAGAGTTGTTATCTCTGTTATTGTTCTCCTCGAAGCCGTGAAGTAAGAGTGAGTATTGTTCTCGGAGAAAGCTTGTATGCAACTCCAAGTTGTATTCTTAGTCAAGAGTCTTGGGTAGGTATTTTCATGGAAGTGTGTCTTCTGGTTGTTATGTCATAGAAGTGTGTCTTCCTGTTTTTGTCCAATCGCTGTCTGTGATTGATGAGTGATTGAGGAGGGTCTCATATCTAGGTGAGTCTTAGATAGAAGTATAACAAGGGTAGTGATTAAGTGATTAGATCATAAACTGGATGTTTGTTGAGGGTCTATGAATTAATACTATTTTAGTGGACTTATCCATGGTTTGGTAGCCCCCAGAGTAGGAAGGTTGTTCCGAATTGGGTTGATGTTAAGGACCAAAACATTGATATATTTGTAGATAATTTTGTGTCCTTTTCACTCTATTTTGATAATTAGTAATGTTTAAATTTCTAAATAGACGAAAATAAGCAATTATATAGTTTATGTGTCGTTGTACCCCAAAATTTTTCCACTTTTCATACACGCATATTATTGGTTTTATGGTTATGGAATAAAGGTATATTTATCAAGCTTCTTTAGGTTACAAGTGACATTTATTTTGTCAATGGATATTCTCAGAGTATTTTTCGTGCTGAAGATTGGTTCATCGTTTTGCAACGATTCGGGGTTCAAAGATTCACAAGTCCAACCCGGCACGTCATATTCAGGTGTTCTTTCGCCAAGATATCTCTGATAACATATTCTCAAATTCAGGTTTGGCTCAAGAGTCAATTCTTTAAAGAAGGTCTCCGAATGTGTGAGTTTTCTCGAAGAAATATGGTGAAAAAGTGTGCTGAAAGTGCAGCTTTTACGCACTAAAAAAATCATAACTTGAAGATCGTGGCTCGTTTTGAACCTGTTCTGGTGGCCAAAATTCCGTCTTGACGTTATCTATGTTTTCATCTCTCACGGATGGAAACCAATTTCGATCAGAAGGTCTTCAAAAATGCGGATTTATCAAGTATTTTCGTACAAAATATTTGTGATAAAAGTTTATTTGCGTCATGTTCAGAAAATCATAACTTGGTCGATTTTCATCGTATCGAGCTGGTTCTGGCGCCAAAATTTCAAAAATTGAGTTGGCTACGTTTTCACAAGAGGTATCGAGCTCGAACGGTATTCAAAAGGCCTCCGTTTTTTGCTCAGAGTACGCGTGACGCGCTGAAAATCCTGAATGCTGAATATTATTTCATCTGGTTCGAAACTTCGAAAATTCATAACTCGGTCAATTTTTATCGGGTCGGGCTCATCTTTTTACACAAGGTCACTGACTCAGATATCTATAACTTTTATTCCAAAGTCGAGACCGAATTATGCTCCAATTAATACCAGTTTTTTATTGAAGAACGTGTCAGAGTCGACACTAGAGCCCAAAATAAGTTTGTCTGAGCTAAAACTTCAAAAATTCATAACTAATTCAGTGTTTATCCGATTGAGCCCATTTTTGGACAAGAGTTAGTTATCGATATCGGATACATTTTGTTTTCACATTTCAACTTCAAAAATTACACTTAAGCCCCTGCGATTTAGCCTGGAACGTGACAGACTCAAGTGAACATTGGAGGCCCAATTGTACATTCAAAGCCCATATCTTTTCTCTAATTTCCATTATATAATCTCATTCTTTTCACACAAAGGAGGAGAGACAGAGAAAAAACCTTTGCCACAACCCTGTAAGAATACGAAATTCTTTCAAGAACCCTAAAAACCTTGAAATCCTTATTACAAATCCATATCTCACTACAAACAAGCCATCATTGTTACAAATCCACATCTCACTACTTCTCCAGTAAGGG